AGATAGTGACTCATGTTCAAAAAGGTGTAAACAAACATGTGATCTGTCACATGTTTGTATTGTTCCACTTTCAGTCTGACTCAAACAAAAACATAGGCACTGGGTCTAACAACTTTAGAGGTTACTGTCAAAGTAATGCAGCACAGCAAAACAAGTTTTTGTCACATTGTGTTACCTTGCTTTTTGTTGGAGGTGTATATAAAAGTCATTGCGTTGTCTTTAAGCTTAGTAATAAATCACATAACTAACTATCCATATGTTTTATTGGAATTCATGGAAAAAAACATTAAATGCTAATGGTAGTATGTGTGTGTCTGTATAATAGTAATATAAGTAAAACATGCTTATTTTTCAATCTGTAACTCAAACTCTACAATCACATTATATTGATATTGTTGAAATCTTTATCCTTAAGCATTTTATTTAAGCTGCTTTCCTCATCATTCTCTTTATTTAACCCTGATTTTCTATCGTGAATTTACCATCCAACTTGGATTTAATTAAGCGAAGGTAAAGTTGCACACATTTCATGAGCTGGCTGCCCATTGGTTGGGGTACATGCTTAATAGGGCTTGGGGTGCTGTGAGTTGGTGGAATCAGTGGTTATTGATGGGTAAACAATAGGATTATTTACTTTATTCTCCTAATTGCCCTATTTGTTTTCCTGTTGCATAGGGAGACAGATGTACTATGTCCAAAGATCATACATTCTTTGTTGTACAATGCTAATGAGTACATTATTTCACATGGTATGTCATGTATTTCTTTTGCATATAAGTTCGCTCAACTCTCATAAACATTATGTGGCTTGGCCGAACATGATACATTCAATGAAGTCTATGGTTGTTGTTTTTTTTGTTAACAGGGGTAAGTGAGTTAAGATACTTAAAAACGTTACCACCTTAGGCCTTTTATTGTTTTTAACTGGATTTAAATGCATAGATATGCACATTGGCATGGGTCACAATACGTTTAAATTTGCTCTTCTTGGATGACCCGATCACCGTTAAGTGTTACCATTCCAAGGGCATTGGTTGGAAAACTACTACTTCAAATGCTGTTGAGGACATAAGGGCTCAGATGGAAAATCATGAATTAACATTTCTCAACATATGCGATGTTAGGCATTAACAGGTTCAAGAAAAAATAGTATAATGGTCTTATCAAAAGGTATAGGCCAAGCTACTACTGAGTCAACCACACAGAGGGCTAAGAAGGCTAGTTTTTTTTTTAAATATGTATTAATACATTTATTTTCATCTTAGGTCTAAGATACTTTTTTAGACAATATACATCGTTTTTTCTACATTAGCAATGCATTGTGTGTTTTATGAATGCACAACTAAACCCTTCTTTTTCTTTCTTAGCTTTTTCTTGAGTGACCTATTTTCAGAATAGTTTTAACAAAATTAAAGGCCTTTTCCAAAAACTGATACATGTCCAAAGTGTCCACAGTGTTAATGACACCTTAGCGCACTTCCCACATCTTTAGCCCAATGTGATACTAACTTCACTGAGTGTCCTTCATCGCCACAGTAAGTTCTTACTAGCAGTTAATTCAACTCTCTTAAATAATTAGCATTTAGTAGAACAGATGGCAGCTTTCTCTGCACTGTTGCTGACACCAGAGTAGACTTAGATAATTGATTGGCAACAGGTGTCCATTTAACTCCTTGACAATTACAAAACACCCAGGTACCATTAACTTAGTGTTAGCACGTCTGAGGTAGCTCACATAAATTTGTCTGATTTTCTATGTCTCAGACAACTTCATTATAGCTGAACACAGGTCTCACCTCCACTTATCCTTTTAGGCTTGTCTGGGGTTGTTACCACCCTCCCTCCCCCTTTGTACACCCAGTCCCCTTTGCCCAGAGCGTAAGGTTTTCCTCCCAGGAAAAAAAGTGTGTCTGGAACTATCTGACATCCCGGATGTGATGTGTGTCCAGGAGTGGGATGAGTCGGCAAGCCTGCTATCCTGGAGTGCCATCTCTTTAGCCTCTGAGCCCTGAGCCTGAGCCCAGACTGTCTGCAAATTAGAGAAATTAGCTCAGCCAGGCCAGTGAAAGAGCCCCAATCTTAACCTTCCCTCCCTCCCAAACATACATACACACTCCTTCTATCACCACCATTAACCCCCACGCCACACTGGGCAGCAAAGCTCCACTTTTGGAAAAGCGGTCTTGCCATATGGCAGCCAATTTAGTATTTCACCAGCCAAGTTAGGAAAGAAAGGGGGAGAAAAGGAGGGGTATTTGTTATGTACACAAATATAGTTTTAAAGTTGTAAATCAAGACATGGCTTTATGAATGCATAGCAGTACAAAATGGGAATATTAAAAAAGTATTATATTCTTCAGTAATAACCATGGTACATGTTTTCCTTTTGTCACTATTATATAAGCCTGGAATCTTCTATTGTCTAAGATCCCTATTTTCTTCATGGCTTAACATGGAATTATTTGTTTTATTGCATAAAGGGTTAATAGTGTGTAAAAAAACAAAAACAGAATAAGAGCGCACTCTAACCAAAATTATTCAAATGTAGGAAATGTTTCCAGCATTGTGCCTGACATTTAGTCATTTTCAACATTTAGCCTGCAGAATAGGTAAGACTTGATTCATTTAGGTAAAGATGCATGCTGTAAATTAGAATAATACAATCTAGTGGAGAAATTCATGATTCAGCTTATACATGTCACCGGTGATAAAATCCCCATTACAATGTTTTAGTTGTGATAACTAGTCTTGTGATGACTTAGATTTCACAAACCAAATAACAAATTACAACAACCATCAGGGCATCAGAAGAAAAAGAAAGTCAAACATTAAATAAATTCACATAACACATGTGCTTTCTAACACAGGCGGCATTTCCACAAACAGTAGAGTCACTTCCTCTTTTTCATCCCCCATATGTTGGTTTAACAGCTCTCTCCTATCCTGGCTATCTTTATGCACAGCTCCAGGTAGGATAACCCAGCACTGCATATATTTAGACTGTGTATGTGTGTGCGTGTTTGAAAGTAAAGGGGATGCAAGACAGGTGACTAAGTGTCTTTGTGGCGTGCTGGTATGACCTGCCCTACATATGTACCTGTGATGAGCCAATCAGCACAGGGCATGTATCTCTATTTTTCCTTTTAGAAAATATTTTTTTACTTTCTTCTTTTTTTTATGAATTACATATATAAGAAAAATGTGCTCATGTGTTTGTGAAGCTTCAGAATTGAAATAGTGGTGGGTGTGTGTGTGTGTGTGTGTGTGTGTGTGTGTGTGTGTGTGTGTGTGTGTGTGTGTGTGTGTGTGTGTGTGTGTGTGTGTGTGTGTGTGTGTGTGTGTGTGTGTGGAAGGGGTCTTAAAGGTCTTAGTTAAATATGTTCTACAGTGAGATGTAGGTCAAGGAGATACAGTGGCAGCAGATTGCTCATTAAGTGCCAAACCAAGCAAAAGGCTATGAGTGTGTTTTTCAGTGGCACCAGGCCAGCCATCTGCTCTGCCTTTATTCATTCATTAACATGTCTTCTTTGTGTATGCGTTGACGTGTGTGTGTGTGTGTGTGTGTGTGTGTGTGTGTGTGTGTGTGTGTGTGTGTGTGTGTGTGTGTGTGTGTGTGTTTGTGTGTGTGTGTGTGTGTGTGTGTGTGTGTGTGTGTGTGTGTGTGTGTGTGTGTGTGTGTGTGTGTGTGTGTGTGTGTGTGTAAGCATTCATCACAACAGCCACTTGCTGGTCAAGTGTACCACGTCACTGATGTTGTTGTCCGAAACCAACAGTTGTGTGTCAGATGGCTCAATCACATGACCGCAGTGGCTTGTGATTGGCTGGGGTGCCAGGCTAAAAAAGCTTGGCGCAATCCAGGCTCATGAGTTTCTGGTGACGGTGACAGAGGGGCCACATCGAGAGCGGATACCCAAAGGATCTAACTGACAGGAATCCCCCAAGACAACACTGGAGAAAGAAGAGAGAGTACAAAAAGGGGACAGCAGATAAATAACAATCAAGGGATGACATAGCCAAAGAGATGAGGATCCTACAGCTGAATGAATGTGTGAAAGTAAGTCATATCTTCTTATTTATTTCATGGATTGCCATAGATTTAATTGACTTAAAATAATCAGATGAGTTCTATTAAACTTCAGGTTTACCTGCTGTTGTGATGTTTTACTTTTATAATGTTACTGTCAGTTTGTGTTGGGTAAAGACTTATTAATAACAGGCTATACAAGAGGTTTTATTTTTTGTACTGCACATTTTTCATTTAATCTAAACTTGTACTTTGCCTCTTAAAGGTAGGGTAGGTAATTCACTTCAGAAACTTTTTGTTATATTCCATGGAATGCTCTTAACATCCCGATAGCAATGAATATATTAAATGCTTTGACAATAAATACATAAAGAAATATAATCTGTGGAAGCCGTAGTACTGTAAAAAGCACGACCAATCATTTTAGCCGGCCCGGCTAAAATAACTGGATGGCCTACCTGCCTGTCAGCCTTCCATCTGTGCACAAACTTATCTCGTGCCCTCATTGGTCATGTGCGCGTTCGTGTGTGTTGGAGGAGGGGCTCTGTAAGGAAGTCTGAAGGAAGAGGCAGATTTTTTCCGGTTGTGTACTTTCAAATTCTAGCGCACTCGAGCTGGTTTCTCCATTCTTACCTACCCTACCTTTAACTTAATGACAAGAGCTGATTTCCATGGCACTAAAATGTCTTTCTCCCTCTTTCTTTTCCAGAACCTGAGCTTTAACCAGCGTACCTAAGACAAGGGTGCTACCCAACCAAACCAAAGTACTTCTATACCAAAGCAACCTAAACCAAACAGAAACAGACCAAGCTTTAAAGCCTGAATTCATCACCTACTGCAGATTCTATATTTTCAAGATGAAATTGGAGAGCACGCCAGGAGACATGAGCAGGTGGAGGGAGGTGGACTTTGTCCTAAACTGCACCTACATTGTGCCGGACCAGGTTTCGGACCCTAGCTTTAGCCTGCCCAAAGCCATGACCTCCATCCCACGCAACCTCACCTTCGAGTACAGCACAGACAATGAGGTAAGAGCAATTTAACGTATCTAAATTATTTAACCGGCATATTTAAAAATATATATATTTTGTATTTTAATCTAGCACACCCTCCGTTAAACTAGATGCAAGATCCTGGATGTCGGCCCTAAATGCTTAGTTTTGCTTTATTAAAGCTTTCGTTTTTATAACTCAAAACAGGAATTCTGTGTTACATAATTTTTTGGGCCATCTGCATTAGGATAACTTGAACAAAAGATCTGCTGACAAATGCTGTTCTTGGCACATACAGTAGAGTGCACAATGTGTGTGTGTGTGTGTGTGTGTGTGTGTGTGTGTGTGTGTGTGTGTGTGTGTGTGTGTGTGTGTGTGTGTGTGTGTGTGTGTGTGTGTGTGTGTGTGTGTGTGTGTGTGTGTGTGTGTGTGTGTGTGTGTGTGTGTGTGTGTGTGTGTGTGTGTGTGTGTGTGTGTGTGTGTGTCTGAGTTGCTCTGAACATGAGGCCACTGGCAGCTTGAGGTCAGGGGGCATGTGAGGTCTTCGGACCACCTTAACTTCCATGATGTCACCCTAATGTTTACACCAGTGTGCGGCTTCTCTGCATCTCTGTGTCACGCACATAATGTTGCATGCGAAAACTCCCTTACTCAGGACATTAAGACACACCCACAGAGAAAGTTATCAGGGAAGGATTCTACCAAGTGATCTATATTGGATCAAGACCCTCCTCCCTTGTTTTTCTTTTTTACAACCATGCCTGTCCTATTTACCTCCCACGTCCCTCCCTCTCAGGTGAGTCAGGAAATACAAACAAACCCCTTGAGCTATTAAAGTCAGCTGTTTGGCTTGGAAGGTATTGACATCCGGTATCTGCCTGGACATGTCTGTGTAAAGCACTGCAATCAAGACTCAAAGCAAGGGAATTTGTACTGTACCTAAAGAGAGAATCATCATCTCAGAAAGGAAGAGAGAAAGATGTCACACAGTCACTCCTTTTGTACTTGGTGTTTGGCTCAACACTTGGTGCTTGTGGTTTTCTCCGCTGTCCCCTTCCTCCTTCTGTACTAAACCCTGCAACACTTTCTGCCGATGTTCCTTTTTTCAACTTCTCAGACTCTCATCTTTCTTACTGCTGCAAGGGCAAGGCATGCAAAGCAAGGTGATAAAATCACTTTGAGGGCTTATTTAAAATCCCCAGCCCTTCTTTACCAAAAACACATCTCTTGTTGCAGCCAAACATGATTTGTCATTTGATTGTGCTCATGTGTCGCAGTGCTATCTAAGAATGTATTTAAATGGTATTTTATAACCCTAACCCTAACCCTAACCCTAACCCTAACCCTACCCCCATCAAACACTTACTGCCAGATAGGTACAGTAGGTGCTCACGTATGTGCATGCATATGTAAAGGGTGAGTCAGAAAGATATCAGATAAGAGTTAAGACTTGAAAACAAGCATGAGCGCACATTCACATGTTTGCCAGTAATCTGCCTGCTTAAACTCGTCCCTTGTCCATTGAGTAGTTTCCCTTCCCAAAGAAGTTGTCATGTGAATCTTTTTCCTTGACTCTCGGAAGCTTAAGCTAGGTAATGCATTTACTGTGAAACACACTCCCTCCTTTGTGTGGGTTAGTAGGTAGTAGCGCATGCATGTGTGACCTTTAATGTAAGGCACAGTTCTTAACATTTATAGGAAGGCTCCATTGAAGGGAATTTTTTACACAGGTGCGCGAATGGTACACTTGTTTCAGTTTAGCGGTCAAACCTTAAGGGTCTAAATAAAAACAGAAAATGTGGTTAACTTGCTTGTACCATGCATTCCATGTTTGGCTAACAGGAGGAATGTTGGGCCCACTTATCTTCTATCCCTTTTAACTTCTTCACACTTTTTTTAAGCCTCCTTTTCCTCCCATTTTCATTTCGAAGCGTGCCAGGAAATGCACAGAAGGGCGGAGGGGGCACGTGGCAGATGGGGCATTATCAACGGGTGCCAGTGAGCTGCGGCAGAGGCAGCGAAGGGGATGGATGGGAAGGGAGAAGGTGGGGAGAGGAGGGTGTATTGGGGGATTTAGGTTAAAACCAGATGATTAACTTTCGTTGGGGACAGGCAGCCGGCCAGGCAGCGTGTGCGTACGCCAGGCCTCAACCTGGCAGGCACACAAGCTATTTCCAGAGGGTTAAGAAAAGAACAAGGATTGGGGGAAGGCAGGGGAAAAGGAGGGCGATCGGGAGTGTGATAGCGTGGGTCCGTTTAAGAACGCCCATCCTCTTTTCTTCCGTTCTTCAACACCCTGCCCTCCCCCCCCCAACTGCCTCCCCCTTACTCCCAACCTGGCTGTACTGAGCGGTTAGCAGCAGCAGCGGCCACAGCGATTCGTTAGTCACGCAACGCCAGCAAAGCACAATGTCCCTGTCACACCGGTTCATCGCATCCAGGAATCACCTCACTTGCCTACCACAGTTGCTTGTCCCACACTCAGAGACACACACACATAGTGACCTCACTGACCTGTTGTTCTTTTAATTGACTGCTAATGCATCATTTACGAAATCCAACTCCTGCCCTTCAGTTCAGTTGTTTGTAAATGTTTTTAAATGTTTGCTTTAAAGGATTTAGGGCCATTTTGAATTAGAATTGCTTATTGACAGGGAGAAAGAGTGTGTGTTTATCTATGGGGGGGTCAGGAAAGGAGGGTAAAGGGGTGGGGTGAGGGGGGGGAACACAAAGCTCCTCAAGACACGAAGGCTGTGTGTATGCCGCAGATGCTGCTGCCTGATGGCGTGTGTGTGTGTGTGTGTGTGTGTGTTTGGGTTCATTTTGAGAAGGGTTGACCCCAAGCCTGTGCACTTTCTATGAAAGTGTGACTCATAACTCTGTTCTGCACAACAAATAGGACACTAACATATCTTTTACCTCATCGCTCTGGATTAACCATCTTTACAAACACAATATTTTCTTATCCAACTGTCTAAAAAATTACCTCAAAATTCAGTAAAGACTCAATCCCCTGCAGGGCAGAGAAGATTAAGTGTCCCTGGGAAAAAAGTTGCTCATGGTAAAGAAAATCCCACGCACATTTCAATTTTGCAATATCTATGTTTTGACCATGTTCCAGAGGGAACATGATCAATGATTGCATATAATCACAGTATATGCAAAGGTGTGTCATCCATAGGTGAAACATTTTGCAATCAAGCTTTTTGACTTTGAAACAAACTAAATAGCAAGAATAATCAGAATAATATTTTTATATTGCTTGGTTTGTCTTTGTGGCTTATCAAAAGTGTTGTCTTCTTTGAATTTTAAAATGCTTCATAAATTAGACAAGCATTGATACAGTTCACAAGAAAAACAACAGGTGACAGTGCTTTCTCTGTCTCATGTTCCTAACACGTGTTTATAAGGACATTAGCTCAGAGATCAGTGGAGTAGGTCAGAGAAAGTGTAATTCTCTTCATTCAATTAACTTGTAAGTGTTGAAAGTGTGTCACCTTGTGGGTTTGAACCTGGCTCTAGAACTGTCTGGGTCAACATGACAAAGCCACCAGAACTGCAAATCATGCCAACACTGTAAACAATGGAGAAATACAAATATTGCACTTATTTGTATGTATAGATGTGTTGAAATGAAAACAGCTGTTGTGGAATCTTTTGTCTTTTGTGGCATCAAATTGCTGTGTATATTGTAATGAGAAATATACTTCAATATAATAATGTATTTGTTATGTGTTCCAGGTAATGGGCGTGTTCAGCAAAGAATACATTCCCCAGGGGACTCGCTTTGGCCCTCTGCAAGGAGTCATCTACACCAAAGACAATGTTCCAAAACAGGCCAACAGGAAATACTTCTGGAGGGTAAGGGAATTGCATAGACATAAAGATGAATCTATACAATAAATACATAAAATCACATTAATACTGCCACCCTGGCTCAGTGTGAAACTGGTCAGAAAGGGGAAAGTCTAGATCCTAAGAAATAGAATGGTTGAAGAGTAGCTGGTGAAATGGTTTCTTCTTCCTCTGTTATTCACAAAAAACAGAAGTTTCACACCAAGTCCAAGTCAATACCTCAATAAGGAAACAAAAAATGCTTTCACACACAACGCTCTGGTGTACAGTGGTTTTGCTGAAAACTTTTAGAGGAAGTTGTTAACGCTGGTACACGTAACAATGAATCCACTCTCACACAGCTTTACCGGCACTCTGCTCCGTCACAAGTGTCACATACACAAAAGGAAGGGACTATTGTTGAATATACATGTACACACTCCACCCCCTTTAATCTTCAGGTCCCAGGTTTCTTTTCTCTCTCTCATCCATGTTATGTCACTTAGGAATTTTTGTTTTCTGCTGAGTCAATTCCCATAAGGACTTTTTGTTGCCACCCTACGTGTTTTCCTTCCGGTTTATTTCCTGTAAAGCCGCGCAAGGGATGTTTCACTAGTGCAATAGTGAAAGGTTGACGTTCTGAAGAAATTATCATATTTTGAACCTTGTGACACAGGTGGAGGGTGGGGACGGACGTGCTGCCACGGGCAAGCCTGAGTGTGTGTGTTTCTGGCTGCCTGCCAAAACCTGCCTGTTCTTTTGATCTTGTTTGTTTTCATAAGCCAACGCATGTTTTCTTTCCTAAGAAAGACATGATTAATTGTGCCAATGGCAATCCTTACATAACCTTAAGTAAAAAAAAGCAACATATGAGAAAGAGAAAGAGAACATTTGTAAAGAGGGAGAGTGAGAGTCACTGAGCTATCGGCCACACCTCCATGCTCGTCTAGTACTAATAGACCTACAGTGACACAGACACAAACACACACACTGAGGACACACAGAGAGCAGAACAGTACGCTGCAGACCAAAGGACCAACAGATATTGATAATTATAGGACATTTAACTGTACATGGCAGAGGTGATTATTTTCTTTATAAAACAAATGGATTCAAATTGTTTTTTATAGAGGTGTTGACATTTACTGGAATTAAATGATATTTGTGAAATGTAATTTCTAAATTCAAGGAATTATAGCACCTTCGTGTTCATACAACAGATGAACAAAATAATAATTTTAACAAAAATGTGTATATTTATATTTTAATGTAAAACCAATTGTCATAATGCAAAATACAAATCAGTTGCTTTAAATGTTTTGCGTCCATGTTTTAATCCCATTTTCTTTTTCTTCTTCAGATTTACAGCGGTGGGCAGCTTCAAAGCTTTGTTGATGGCTATGACGTCAACAGGAGCAACTGGATGCGTTACGTCAACCCGGCCCACCCTTCGCCGGAACAAAACCTGGTGGCATGCCAAAACGGCAGAGACATCTACTTCTACACCATCCGGCCGGTGGAGCCCAATCAGGAGCTGCTGGTGTGGTACAGCCAGGAGTTTGCCCAGAGGCTCTGCGGCCAGCATGAAGACATCAAAAAAAGTGAGCAATTTATCATTTTACATCAGGATGTGAAGGTCTTCTGCCTCAGCTTTACACATACCTTTAGACGCAGAAAGACTGCTGATTATCAGCTGTTTTGATGGCAAGCCAGCACAATGACACACCAAAAATCATTTGATGTTACTTGACATGACAAAATGACAGATTTAGATCCGTGGCTATGACTAAACCCAAAGCATAAGGGCTGTGTTAGGAGATCTATCATCAGCAAAATGATATCACTTGAATTGTAATTCATGTAGCACGTGATTATTGCCTTTCTGTTAAAAACCTGGAGACCTGTTAAGTCCTCAGGCCAATATTTAAGATTATGGAAATGCACAAACAAAAGACGGAAATCTCAGTATCTCATGATGTGGTAAATGACGTTATATTACGGGGAGGGGAGATCTAATGGGAAAAGTGCTTGGTCAAAGTACCTTTGTGAGTCACTTGGTTTCAGCTATAAGTAGAATAGCAAGTCATACCCTCATCATCCTGTTACCGCAAAGTCTGGTGACTCATGCCAACTGGATACACCAGATGGGTGCCTTTTCATTGTGATGACTAATTCTAAGGCAGTATGATTACGTTGTTTAATTAATTTATAGGATCTTAAAAGCTTTCACCTTCCTTTCGCGTCCAGGGTTTGATTTTCTGTTATATTTATATTGAAGGCAATTTAGTTCAGAAGCTCAGGTACTGGTTGAGGAAGTTTCGGGCACCAATGCTTGTTTTCATATTAAGCTAAAGGAGAAAGGAAACCAGGGGCAAACATTTAAATCAGTGATTTAATGTACAAATTAATTGTTGTAAAGGAGAAAAACCATGCAAAAACAGTGCTACATGACCCTAAATGCAATTAACATAATGAACACAGCAGAATGACATGACCCTTAACACACAGTAGTTGACATATAGTGATAGTGAGAGTGAGACATTCTCATAAAGAAAAAGAGAAGGGAAAAAGGCAAGTTTGTGTGGCAAGTAGTAAGACAGCTATACCCAGAAAAGGTTTCGGAAAAGAAACGACTGTGACATAACATATGGACTCCCACACACTTTACCGCCAACTCATTCTCCCACATTAAAATCACTACTGTAATAGACATACAGAAACCAGTGATAACTCAGATTGAAACTACTATCATTTACCATAAGAGGGAGTGCCTTCTGTGGGCGGATGTGTGTGTGTGCTTTTAATTGTGTGTGCTTGTGTGTTACACAATTTTTTGATGTCATATCCATTCCTGTGGAAATACTCAATTTTGATTGTATTATTTTACAGAATACATGAGTTCTGATGAAGACCATGAGTCGGAGTATACCAAACAGCACCTACCTCACAAGACATGGCTCACAGAAAGAACAAAGGGAGAAGTGAAAGAAGAGAGGGAAGAAGATGAAGAGGAGAAGATTGACGTGGAGATTTTGGAGAGAGACACTCCGCCAGTAACGCCTTACGACCAGATCATGGACTTCAGCAAAAAGGTTGAGAAGGAGGAGTGTGACAGAGAATCAGAAGACCAGGGGATCATTCCCTCCCCCGAGCCCCAACACAGAGAGCCTATCCTGGGCTTAAATCGCCCGTTCTTACCAGATCCCCAACATGCGCTGCCATCTCAGCACAGAAGTCTCCCTCTACACCTCCATGGCATCTACAGGGAAGGTGTTTCATCTTACCCCCTTTACCCTCAAACCAGACCCCTCCAACCCAATTACCAGCTCCTTCCTCCCTACAGCCCACACTATCCTCGCCACCTCCTCCTCCCCTTGTACTCACCTCCCTTCCCTGGGATGATGCCCTCAAGAGGATCCCTTCGATACAGCAGCTATCCGGGCACAGACGGACTCCCCTACCCACCTGTCGGCCCACCTAATCAGCTGCCAGTGTCCATCCCGTACCCTATGTCTTCACAGGGGGGTCTGAAAGAACTCAAACCAAATATATCTCCCCCAAGGGGCGCCCCAGCCACCCCAGAGCTTTCCCCTCTCCCAAAGCCCGACAGTCAGCATCAGTGTAATGAGCAGTCCTCCTCTGGCTGCGACGAAGCCATGAATCTAAGCCTGGACACGGTGAAAAGCGAACCATCGATACGCAACAGCCATGGCCATAAATCGCTGCCCTACCCCCTTCACAAGCAGAATGGAAAGATCAAATATGAATGCAATATCTGCTCAAAGACTTTTGGACAGCTGTCGAATCTCAAGGTAACTTTCATTCCCCTGCTACAGCTTATATTTGAATTTAATGTGTTCCACATTTCGGATATTAGTTGGCACCAGTGCTCATTACTTTTTTATTTTCTGTAGGTCCATCTTCGAGTGCACAGTGGTGAGAGACCGTTCCAGTGTTACCTATGTAAAAAGAGCTTCACTCAGCTAGCCCACCTCCAGAAACACCACCTGGTCCACACGGGGGAGAAGCCACATGAATGTCAGGTATGTTGATCAAAGGAGTTTTTTTTCTTCTCTCTCTACATGCTGCTTACAAGCTGATCATATCATGAAGTTGATGTAAAACCAAGAGTGTGAAAACCTCACAAGGAAACAAACGTAAATGCTCTCTGACTCACATCACTTTCTGGTAAGGCAGTGTGCTTGATTTTCAATGAGCCATTACCCGCTTTGTCATGCTATTGTTAAAAAGCGTGACTCTGTGGGTGTGAGTGTTCAGGGTGAGGACACACTGGTACTAAGAATAGGAAAAGCAGTCCTTTTATACAAGAACTGGAATTACATGATCAGCCCTGACACTATATGACAATTATACTCTACTGATTAGTTTATCCAGAACATTTCGAAACACAATCGATTTGTTTTTTCAAGGTGTCAACGATCAGTCACGTGAATGTTGCTCACAAAAGCCCTAATCTTTCATTTCATGTTTCCAGGTGTGTCACAAACGCTTCAGCAGCACCAGCAACTTGAAAACACACCTGCGCCTCCACTCTGGTGAAAGGCCATACCAGTGCAAGCTGTGCGGCACCAAGTTCACCCAGTACATCCACCTCAAACTGCACCGTCGCCTCCACAGCAGCCGCGACCGGCCCTACCGCTGCCAGCTCTGCGCCCAGGCCTTCTTCCACCGCTTCTCCCTACGCATCCACCAGTGCAGCTGCTGCATGGCCAACTCCAGCGCACCCGTCAATGTCCACATGAAGCAGATGGTGGAGCAGTTTGACGCCAGCCAAGAGGCGGACATGCTCACAGAGGCGGCGTCGGCAAGGCAGGTGGAGGAAGCGGTGGAGCACTGGTTGGCTCGTACCTTGGAAGGTGAAGGGAAAGAGGACCAGAAGGAAGCCACCGTACTGCTGAAAGCTCTGACGGCGGCAATCAATGCTCCAGCAATGCCCATCGCCAAATCGCCCATAGCTACGTCACACCACTCTCCTCCACTGGCCTATCAGGAGAGGGCCAGTGTTGTTCATCTCCACCAATGGCCAACAGTGAAGGCAGAAGGACAGTGAGAAAATATTGAAAGAGGACATACAGCATCATTACCATTAATAAAAACAAAAAATGTTCGCCAAATAAGACTCCCTATATAAAGTCCATGAAGGGCATTAAAGGGAATAAAAACGTTTGTTATCCAATGAGCACAGCACCAAAAGAAGAGCATTCCAAAGACTGGGCGAGGGTATTCAGTGATTGTACTTCCTCCCAAAACTCAGTTTCAAAAATGAATATGGAGGAGGATGTTGTTAAGCTGTGAATTATTCAAAACTCTTTTCACTCAGGTAGAGAAGTGATTACTTTTGTTGTGCTTTAACTTATTACCTTTTGGGAAATGTAAGTCATCTTTATTTATTTAGTTTTATTTTAGTATGTTTTTTCAGTTTTGTTTTTTTAATGTGTTTCCAAAGAGATTTGATCTCTTATTCAAATGAGGAATGAGTCTTCACTTGTTGTATTGAGCAAGGTTGTACTTTGTGTGAAAGCATGTTTGAGCTTCTGGGTGCATGTGTACAGCGAGTGGAAGTAATTACTGTATGAACGATAGGGCACAATCCTTTCCTGCTCTTTAACTGTTTGCAACTATTTTATTTATTATAAAAAAAGGGAAAATCAGGTTTCTTGAGACTGTGTATTAATAAGCAATTGCCAAAATTCGATCAAAGAACATGAATGCGTAGCACTGTTTTGTGGATCATTACTCAATTCATTCTTGTATAATTAACCTTTTCTTGATAATTTAGCAACCTCTCACAGCTTTAGATAAAAAAATATCAAAGACACAATGTGCTAAATGAAGCCAAATGCCACTAAAAGACCATAAATCGCTAAGTTGCTTGTATCTGATATTTCTTACCTACAAAGCTTTACTGTAAATGTTTTTGACATCAAAAACATGCAACACAAAAGCACATTAATCTAACATTGTTAATATTTTTGTCAATTAGCACTGGAATAAAAAGGCAACCCGATCTGTGTTATTCTGGTTGTTATAGAAAACCAGCAGGGAGGTACTGTCTTTGCAAATTGTACTACTGAGTTAATAATGTATTTCTTTTATCCTGTTTGTAGTGTTGTCCTTCTTTTGTACAATATGTTTGTCTATTTAGTTTATTTTTGGAAACAAGATGTTAAGAATTTATATGTGAGAGACTATTTTGATGATACTTTTATATTTACACGATGTAGCATATTAAAGATATTGTTTCTATAATTCTAGTGTTATGCGTTTGTTTTCATATTAGTATAAGATTGAGAAGTGGAGTTTTACAGCAACAGGGAGGTTGATGCATTGTTCCATGTTTAATAAGCAATGCGTTATTTCTGTCGGTGTTCAATTGACTTCCCAAAGACAAAGCTGATCTTTTACGATCACCAATCCCCTTCCTTAAGACCATGATGAGGTCCCTAATCCTTTGTGAAAAAATAGTTCATGATGTGATGACGCAATAGTTAGGTTTGGGAACCTAACAAAGAAGAATCTTTAAGGTTGGGAGACATTTATTTTCATTGTTTAAAAGAGTACATCACCGATTTCAATGTCAATTACTCATTTATTGTTACCTTGAAACCTTGAAGATGCTTTTTGTCTCCCCAGTTAATGGAGAATCCAAAAATAATTAAAGTAATAGTACTATTTAACAACAGCAAAAATGAAATAAAATGTCAATGTCTTTTTATCCTAATTTCTGGTCATTTGAAATGAGACCATTGATGTCTCATATCAAAGAAGCCTTTTCCTATTAACTGAAAGCTGTGATTACATATTTCCTCTGGCTGGGTATTGACACACATTCAAAGCTCTTTAAACATTCTATTCCCCTTTCCTGCTGGCAATAAACTCTAATCCCACACTAGATTCCCTTGATACGTTCACTTGTCAGGGTCTTTTTCCTAGGAAATAGAGGAAATGAAACTCCTCAGTCACCAAAGAAACTCAGAAATGACACTGCTTACAGTACATCACAATTTTTATATTGCATAATGATTGAGCAATCAACTTTGCATTTTGGTGGGGTGTATGATGCTGACAGTATTTACAGCAGGTATGAGTTTTGACTCTTTTACAGTTTTATTGATACAACTACTCTGAGGTCGGAAACCTTATTTGGTCAAAGGCACAGATAATTGCCTCTAGAAACATGCCTTTTGCAGATTTAAAAACTGAATCCAGACAGCAACAGTGTGATGCATTCATGGGCAGAGCAGTCATACCTAAACGTATGTGATCATTGGCATCACATGACAGTGAGGCAGACTTTCAATTTACAAAGTCTTTAGCAAAGTTGTTGTAAGCAGTGTGGTCTTTACAGTAATTCTTTAGCAGGCTTCCTCTCTCTTTGTGTCTTAACCACTTTCTTTTTGCTGTGCAACGACATCTCATTCTATAGCATTTTGGGGGAGAACCCCACAGCAAACACCTACACACCACTGATCAGAATAAAAGCACATCAAACCATGTTAACATGTGCTGTCAGACTGCAGTGGTGACAGGAAATCCTTTCCTTTTGGCAGGCTGCCGGCTGCACTGCCAGCCACACATCTACCCATTGTGCAATAGAATAGAAGCAAAGTCAAAGTACATGTACAATACCAGTATGCTGTTCAGTTAGAGAGAAGGGAAACACACAGCATGGTAACATCCAGTAAAATCAATATCCTGTGTAAACTGCACAGTATTGTGTATACACCACATCCTTAAAGGGAAAAAGAAATGAATGTGCACTTAAGATGACTGGTTTGCATCTGCTATTTGTTAATCTATCACTAAATTAGGGTTCAAAGTCCCTACTTCATTCCCACTATTATCTAGTTTAAATTAGGGATTTAACAGATCAGGTTGCAGCAGTAAAACTTAACAAAAGCTAAAGATTTGAAAGATATGTAAATTGCTTGCTAGTAAGAATCTGTATCTCTGTCTAATCTAAAGCAATCAACAATGTCTCAGTAGCAATAGAAGCAGTAAAACACCTTAAGAAAAAAAAACACATACAGGTTTTTGTCATATTCATGAAGTTTAAAATAAGTGGGAAATATTTGGTTAGGCTAACGTAAATTACAATATTTGGTCATAAAACCTAATGTTACTAGATTTTGTTATCTTTGTGAAATGTCAATTACATGTTCTTAAATGATAATGAAACATTTTAAGTGGCAGGTAAGATATCAAGTATCAACTCCTTGTCTTTTACTCTTAACTCTATATGGGTTTTACATTACATCAAGCCAGGGCCGAATTCACCATATACATTGGGGGGGGGACATCCCCCCCAATGTATATGGTAAAGAAAAAGTAAATCTGTTTACAGTTCTGTTTCAAATGGGTGTTGAGAGATGTATCCATAGATCTCTTCATTTTGCTCTCAAAGTGCACCAGATTGATGCTTTTAACTTCAACATTTAAAAAAAAAATCTTCCCGGGGGAACGTGCCCCCGGACTCCCCCAGAGGAGGTTAGGTCCACCACCTGCCCACACCCCCCCCGTCAAATTGTCCCAACCACATTGAGGATACTTCCTACGCCCATGCCTGAGACACAGTTTCGTGAATATTGTTGTTTTTTGCCCCCACGGGCGGAGGCATGGGGCTTAACAGGTTTTAAAGTATCCCATGTGTTAGTTAATTTTTATATATTTTCCTTTAGAATGGCAGGAAATTAGTATTCAAATTTTGATTGAATTTGTGGTCCCCCCCAATGTAGACTCCATGGTTACGGCCTTGCATCAAGCTAACGTTGGCTTTATCAGTTGGTTTATTGTTACACAAGTTTCAAGTTACTGGGTGTGAATATTTCACAAAAACGTGTCCCTATGTGAAAATAACCACTGTGTTTGGTGTATCCCGTTTAAATTTGGTAATAAATAAAACAAACTTACCGTATAACTTGGCTAAGTATAAACGTATAAACATATAAACAGCTTGTGGGATTGGTAACTCAGGGTCCACAGAGCCACCAAATCGGCCAATTTATCCTAACATTATCTGTAAATAAATACTTTCAAACTATCTACTGTGTGCACAGTAGAATATGGCCAAATTATATACTGTACAATATGATGTAAATATATTCATACAACTCATATACAGTATATGTGCATGATTTATAAAAGATCAAAATGGGACTAAACCAAATTCATTTAAAACATTGCAAGTTTTTCAACATTATTTTTATTAGCAGTAATTCTGGCTGCCTGGTTGCAATTTATTCTTCGTATTCTTCAACAACACACACTTCATTGTTTCCTCTGATGCTGACAAGCCGTATAGCAAACTCAATTCATACAGCCAGTAAGAATCACAACAGAACACATTGCCACAGTCAAGTGAATGTCAAATATTGATGTTATCTCTTCATGATCACGATCAGGTAACGTGAAAAGTAAAGTAAACTCCGTCACCTTCTGCTAATCAAGTGTATTCATTACAAGGAAGTTTTCTTCCGTACACACAACAGGATAGTGAACATTTCCATGGAAGTCATAAACTCGTCTCAGATTACATCTCATTTCCATGTAAACTTTTTTTTTTTCTTTTTCTCCTGGAACCAATTTTTTTTAACCAAGACGGAAAAATCTGAAAGCAGTCCGTCATTTTGACAGATTAGAACAAACTCGGAACAGCGCCAACGTTTCCCCGCAACGAGGCTCCGTTGTTATGCCGTGTGATGCATGCCCGCCAAAAAGGAAATGATACCGTTTCCACACCTAACTTTACCGTACAAATCATTGAAATGTCTGTGAGTTTTGGCTTTACGCTGTGCGCGCTCCCGCGAGGTGCAGTGGACATGCAGCATAACACGGCGCTAACAGTTCACGAGCGTGCGCCCCCCACCTCTGATGACAGTTCACGAGTGTGCTCTTCCCCCCGGTTGACAGTTCACGATAGTGCTCTCTCCCCTCGTCAGAGTTGTGTAAAGGCCGACGGGTAATACTGGATTTTTACGGACATTTTACGATCTTGTCCGTCAAAATGACGGGCAGCGAAAAAGTCTAGCGCAACCTCTAAGGGCTAAAAAGTTTCCAGTTTTTCTGGGGAAAATGTAGAGTGGGGGTCATCAGTGTTTACCTACAGTAATAGGAATCATCGTCACCTTTACAGAACAATGACCAGTCAAACTGGAGTAATTTCCTTTGTTTCAATATTCCTTCTGGGCAATAGAGTGGCGAAGTCCCTCCCCTTCCGGTGGACCTCCATGGGACCTTATTTCGGAAAAATTATGTATTGAAGTCAATGGAGAGAGAAAGATTATCTTTCGATCCCGTTTGAATTGTGCCATGAATTACACATATGTTGTTTGTCAATTTAAAAGATAATTTTGCAAGTCAAAAAAAAAAAAATGTGTCGTAAAACTGTGAAGTAACACATTTGTTTGTGTGAAACGCTCAAAGAACTACATCTGATCTCTGGTCAACAACACACGTCACCAAGATGGCCGTCACTACTGTCTTGTCAACACAAGAGACTACCCTCACTATCACTACAATGAAACACGTCCTGAAGAATGTCATGCAAAGCTGCCTGCCTTCCTTCCTTTGATTCTCTCTGAACTGCCTGGTCGTTTTAATGTTTAATGCAGGGTTGCCAACTTTGGGTACCTGGCTGGAGTGAGATTTTGATATCATGGGTTTAATTCGGTTTAATTACACATATGCGCACGAAATGACTGCTATCGTGTCAGCAGCGAGACCTTAGCATATATATAGGATATATATACAATATATACAAATACACAATAATGGACACAGACTATAAAGGGCACACAGTTTCATTCACTAATGAAAGTCAAACATGTTTGTTTCCACTGTTTTATTGTGTGCCTGTCGCGATAAGCAATTAATTGACTTATCGTACGATAAATAAAAATGAACTCGATAACTTTTCTGACCTCGATAAATTGCCATTTACATGAGGATGTGACTAGCAGTTTGAAAGGATGTACTTGAATTATTATTATATATTATCATTATGTCCAGTGGCGACTGGTCATTAGGGGCAGGTGGGGCACAGCCCCACCTAGTGTCAGCAGAAAGTATTACAAATAATGATTACAAAAATGCAAAAAAATAAATAAAAAAATATATAAAATATATTTTAAGATCATGTTTAATCATCTGATTCGTCTGTACATTGCTGTTTTAGTCTGTGTTCTTCTAATTAGTGTGTCTACAGTCACAGTGTGTGCCTATTGAGCTGTTTAGAGCCATGTGGGACAAAACCTGATTATGCCCCTTCCTCTCGCTGTGAAGTCAACGGTGACTGTAAAAACTTCACTGCACATGCTCAGAGTATTTTGTAATGAAATGTGTGTGG